TCCCGAGTCCGCCGGAGTTTCGTGTTCTCTGTTTTTTTTTTTTTTTCATTTCCCTTACGGAATTTACGCGCAGCTCCCAGCAAAGGGGCAAATGGCTTTTATAGCCCAAAAGACATTCCCCGTTCGTAATTGCATTCAAGAATTGCATTAAAATTATGCATTGATTGCACTCCGCTGAACCAAACTCGGTCGATCCTGCCTGTCATCACGTCGCTGGGGCAAGCAATCTTCTTGGCCAATTTCTGGACAACTGCAATTGGTCATCGATGGCGTTTAATTGGTACCGAGCACAAGTGCCGCACAAATTGACGTTCAATTACGTGTCGATTGCGTGGCGAACAGGACGACAAAGTTGCCACAGAACTTGGATGAGCACTTGGATGAGTTAGTTGTGTCTTTGGCTTACACTGATGTGGTTTGAAACGAAAAGTTTATCCACGACCAGTGGGCTAACGTCGTTTCAAAGTAATCTGAGAGTGTGGGATTATTTTTGCAATTAGTTTTAATACTTTTCTTGCATTATTTGTAGCTTCTAAATATATTTTGGAAATTTTTGTCAAGGAAAGCTGTAAGAGGCTGCTACATAAATTATTTTGCAACAGTTTTTACTTTTCTTATACATTTTTGCATCTTAAAACCATTTTCTCCTTTAGGCTGCTGCTAAAAATCAGCCTTAAGGCATTTGCATTAAGAAGCAATTAAGAAAATTGAAACGAAAATACGACACAACATCGAAAAGCAAGAGAAAAATTGAGCAGACTTGGGGGCTACATGGTACATGCGCCAGCAGGGAAAGCAATACGGAAAATGGGTATTAGCCTGTTGTCACAAGACGACAATATGGCAAAAACAATAACAAAAACCAAACAAGCCAAAAGACACACACACACACACACAGAGAGATAAAGAGAGATAGAGAGAGATAGGAATATGCTGCCGACATTAACACAATTACAATCTGAACATGTGTTAGCCCGCCTAAGACATGCGTCGACTATAAAGAAAAATCCAATTAAAAGTGATAAAAGTTATTGAAGCGTCTCTCTCTCCTCTCGGCAAACAGGGCCAAAAGGAAACAGCAACACAACAAAAAAGCAGGCAAACAACGGCAAAAACAAATGGCCAAAATGCGGCGGGGGCAGGGATTGGCCATACCACGAAAATGGCCATACAAAGTGGATGCCATTAGTGCCATGATATAAGCGCTGATTGCAACACCAGATTATCTCGCACACACAGATTTGGCCAGTGGCGAGTGACAGACAGGCGGACAAGGACAAATCAGTTTGTCTATGGAAAACTTGGACCAACTTTCTATAGATTTTTCGCTGAGAACATTTTTCAAATCAATTGAAGCCTGAAAGGAATGCCAAATTAACTTATGCTATAAGATAGATGGGAAACCGTCTTTTTGGGGGAGCAGATACTTTAATAGACTTATTTTTTGGACAACAAAAATTTTACTATAACACTTATCTCCTAAAAGAAAGATGATTCTTGAGAAAATGTGTTCCACAAAGTCTTGTTAACCTATTAAACGATATAAGATATTATGATATATATGGGAAATTACAACCCAGCTTATGACCCTTCGACTAGAACTGGAACGACAGGAGTATGCAAGGGTATTGCATCAGGCAAATGTATCATTACTATAATAAAATTCGTAACTAAAATATACATTTTATACTGCAGGCAGCATTTAGTCTATTTAAAGCTTCCTTTGTTGAGCGGTAGAACACAGACTCTTTTTAATTTATTCTTTCCAATAGGTTGCCTTAATGAGTCTCACTGTTTTTGAAGCGTCTTTCAATGGCATCGCAAGCTTAAACTGTGATTTTGTCATTGAAAACCCCGTTTATATCAAACACTTATCATGCTTCTCTTTACAAACAATTTGTAATATAATTATTTACTTTTAAATTATTTTTCCCACTTGGCTTTAAAGCTCATTGCATAAAAAGAGAACCCTCTCTCTGTGCTGTAAGTAATTTTTCCAACGCTTAATGGTGTCAGGCTATTAATCATCTCAACCATGCTCTTGGACATCCGCCTGTCATGTTCAACTACTTTTATAATTTTCACGCTGTGTGTGTTCGTTGGGTAACTTAATTTTTGTTATTTATTTTTGTAGTATTATTATTTTGCGCTTCTCCCTCAGCATCCCATTCGCTGTTCACATGGACTGGGTAAGGGGTTCTGTTCTCTGCCATAAAGTCCTACATGTCAATGTTTGTTTGGTTTACTGAACGTAAATGAATGCAAATCTATGGTTAGAAGGGATGCTGCGGGGCTGGCCCTGCTATGTGTCCTCTTTTATTTGCACAAGGAGTGTTTCAGGGCTCTAGGTTCTGTGTCCTGGGGCCTTATCCTTTGAAGGCATTTTATCGGTTCGTTGCAATTATCGGAGATCTTTCGCATGACTGCACAACTTTGTGGCTGGATGTGTGTGGTTTTGGATTTGCATAAAGCATTAAAGGCGGCACAGAAAGCCTTTGACAATTAGTTTGTGTATTTGTATATATTTTAAGTATCCTTGTATCCTTTATTTCCTTTTCTTGTTTTTTTGTTGTTGTTGTTGTACATATCCATCCCCCCGGGCTAAGCTAAATTGAAGTGTGTGCTGAATGTTTATTATGCAACCACAATGTGCTACTTTGTGCTACTACCTTTTGGCTTTCACGCCTTTGAAATACATTTAATCCGTCATTGCACAGGCCCACACACACACACACACACTCTCACACACGTAGTGTGAGCCTTGCCTAGCCCTTGGCCAGGACAGACTATGGCTACGGCTTTATTGACTCCCGTTTTCAATTTGCCTGAACATCCGACGGCCCCGAGCTCCGACAAAGAGAGCGGAGACCTGTTGAAAAGGTGAAAAATCGTTTACCTTTTGCCCTCCTTTTGTGCTATTCCCACTCTCAGCTGGGCAAACACACGCTTAGGCAGCACCTTATCAATCAAAGGTATCTTTCAGCACCCACAGTATCGCGCATATGTTATTAATATGACCCCATTTATCAAAGTAGAAGTGCAGTAGAAGTGGGCGATGTCTGATCAAGTCAAATTCGAATTAAATTGTGTGCCTCCTTTTTACCCTCGTTCGAGGGAGTGTTTGTCGTGTGAGGAAATCATGTGAGTAGGTGCCAAAAACCAATTAAAGTTGAATGCTCCGGTGTCCAGGTAGCTAATGAAATGAACATTTGATGTATCGAACAGGCAATTAATATTGATTCGAAGCTCATAAATTTTCGGTAGAATTTATGGCGTGTGGAAAGCGACATCGTTAGATCTCTACAGAAAGGTGTCTCATAGTGGGGTTCCCCAGATAATGGTTGAAAGGCAGGAGAAGAGTGGTATACAGTTGCTTAGCTTAAATATAACTTAAATGTAGTGGCATGGATACGTATACGTATTCCTCTTTCAACAACAAATTGTAGCAGCTTCAACGAAGCATTTGCTTTTATTAGGATAAACCTTCATTCTTGCTTGGCACCTTACCAGCTCAGCTTCAGAATGGAAACGTGAGGGACTGGAAATAACATAAAGCTCAATATGTCAAAGTTCGCCGGCCATTGACATTAATTAATGGAATGTAAAATGAACGTCGTGGCGTCGGGAAACGGCAGAGGCAATGGCAGAGGCAGGCAGCAGGAAACGCAGCGAAAGCGAAACGAAAAGGCACAGATAGTCGTCAGGCAATTAGGCGCGAAGGACAAGAACGAGGACGAGCACACGGATGAGGATGAGGAGGATTGTACCGGTAGCCGGATACTTTGGCTGCCGAGTTGGGCCGGGTATCGCTGGTATAATTTGTGAAAATTGATGATTTGTTTAGATTTACGAATGAGCGAACAAAACGGTCCAAATTGGCACGTAGCAAGGCCGAAAGGAAACTCGCACAAAAGCAAATGAAACGACGCTCCATTGGAGCACAAGGCGGCCAGGATGGAAGGACGAAGGATGAAGGAAGGCTTCAAGGTACTCGCTAATTGATTTGATATAGATAAATGAGCTAAGCGGGAGGTAGTAGTTGGCGCCAGAAATAATGATTAATGATTAATTTTCTATGACTTCACGGAGGAATGGCTCCCAGGCGTTTCATGTCCTCACTCACTAATTACGAGATGTCCATGAATAGAGAGAGATAGGCAGTCGACACTTGAATTTTCGAATCCTGTGGCGGCCATCAGCCCTAATTACTTGTTGATTATAAATTATAGGCCTTGGAGCTACAATGAAGGAAGGAGGAGGAGCGTGCAGTCGAGCCCTGATTAAATAACTTCATTAGTCGTAGGCATTAAGCAGTTGGGAGCACATACACACACGCACGTGCAAAATGGCACTTGATTGTGGATAAAGTTGGCAGCTATCAGGAGTGTGGATCGTGTGCTGTAACTGGGATCCGGCACTGTAAGATGTGGATCGAGAGAGCGCTGTCGGATACGCTAACAGTGCGCTGTAATTGTGATCAGGCTGTTAGAAGAGAGCGGTAACATGCTGTTAATGTGGGGCTGTTAACAGCTCTGTTGCCCTCTTAGAGCTGCTGCCTTGAACAGCAGCTATCCTCGAGAGAGGATAATGAATTCATCAACCTCTGAGCTAAACATAGTCACAAACTGATGAAAGATTGCAGAAATACCAAACACACTTCTTTATTAGATCTGTTTACAATTACGGATAAAGATTATTACTTGCTGCACGTAGAAAAAATCAAATATTTTATTGGGTATTTCCCTAGACACCACACCACCGAGTCGACCCTTGTGTATAATCTACAGAAGCTGCTTCGAACCAATTAAGATCGACTGAATGACGCTTACGTAGGCCGAGTCGACACACTCCCAGGCACTCCACCGTAAGATAAGCCCACCAAAAGTGGCAAGATTTCGATTTTATGAAGTATTTTTTCATTAATTACACTTATGGGGCCGTCCCATCGCTGCCCACCGCTGCGATATGCGCTTGGGGGACTATTTAAAGATGCCACCAGACCACTCCGCAATCTAAAACTAAAATGATGAGCGTCCGTTTCTCATTGCTGCTGATTGGTCTGGTGGTGGTGCAGACTGTTTGGGGCCGTGTGCCCTATCCAGAGGTGGAGCTGCCGCCGATCGTCCAGGAGGATGAGATCTACGAGCGCGCCGTTTATGTGGCACCACAGCCACAAGGACGTGCAGCGGGTGAGTGGGGAGGGACCCACTATATAGGGAAGAAGAGCAGCACTAACCTGTTGATCCCAATATAACTTATAGCCTGCAGTGTCACCATTCGCGGTGGCATGCCGAGTCCCGAGCCGGTCTATCTGAAGACCGACTCTGAGGACTTTTATCCCTTCAACGATGTTGGCGCCATGGAATTCAATGCCGGAGACTCCTTCCAGCTGTGGTGTCCTGCTGCATTCAACACCCACTCCCAGACCCTATTGACGGCCAAGTGCGTGAGTGGATCCACCTTCAGTGTGGACGGCAAGAACTTTGAGTTCAAGGATCTCTACTGCAAGTCCTGGCCGGGCTTCAAGGCCGTCAAATCGGGCGCCACCTGCAACGGAGGCATTGTCATTCGTGTCGGTTTCGAGATCACCTCCACTCGCTTTGCCGAACAAATGCAGATCTGTTTCAACGAGGAGGAGGAGGTGACCCGCTACACGCGCCACAAGCTGGAGCCCGGCAGCAACTACTACGAGACGGGCGTGGCCCGCATCACCTTCCAGACGGCCGGCTTCTTCGATGGCAAGAATGTGGAGAAGCTGTACACGCAGGTTACCCAGCAGGAGACCATCAACAAGGATCTGGGCGGCGATGCCGGCAAGTACTTCGACACCGGGAGCGTCTTCCTGGCGCGCGGCCATCTGGGCGCCAAGGCGGACTTTGACTATGCCCCCGAGCAGCGTGCCACATTCCTGTTCATCAATGCCGCTCCCCAGTGGCAGTGCTTCAATGCCGGCAACTGGGAGCGCGTCGAGGACGGAGTCCGTGCCTGGGTGTCCAAGAACAAGATGGAGGTGAACTGCTACACCGGTGTCTGGGGTGTCACCACGCTGCCCAACACGGAGGGTGTGGAGACTCCACTCTATCTCGCCCGCGATGCCAACAACAATGGCCTGATTCCTGTGCCCAAGATCTACTTCCGCGTGGTCATCGAGCCATCGACACACCGTGGCATCGTCTTTATCGGCGTGAACAATCCCCATCTGAGCTTGGAGCAGATCAAGCGTGACTACATCATTTGCAATGATGTCAGCGACCAGGTGACCTACGTCAACTGGAAGAAGACTGACATCAAGGCGGGCTATTCGTACGCCTGCGAGGTGGCCGATTTCCTGAAGACCGTCAAGCATCTGCCCGCTCTGACAGCCAAGGGCGGACTCCTGGTCTAAGTTGATGATTGAATAAAGCGCAAAAGAAACCATTCATTCATTTATTCTTGTGGCACTCATCAGCAGAGCAAAATTAGCGGCTAGTATGTTGAAGGAACTGCTCAGCCGAGTGCTGACAGACTTCATGGTGTCGTCGATCCATTTCAAGTGCGCAAAGACATTCGTATAGACGGAGGGTAGAGATCTGGAGCCGCAGCCAATGCGGTAGCTGACAATGCCATAGACAGTGCCATTTAGTAGCAGGGGACTGCCCGTGTCGCCGGCACAGGGATTCTCATCCAGATCATTTTCCAGATTGCCGGCACACATCATTTCGGGCTTGAAGGTGTGCAGCATATCGTCGCAGGTCTGGTAGTCCAACAGCTTGATTTCCACATGGAGAATGCTAGACGCCAGTGGACCACCCTTAGCAAGAGACAAATCATAAAGAGAGTAACGGCCTGCAAGAGAGAGAGGGAGAGAGAGAAGAGCGCTCACCTTGTACACTCGGCCCCAGCCCAGGAGTGTGTAGTTGATGTTATATACTGGCTCATGGGTGGGCAAACTGGCAATGGCAATATACGGATTATCCGGCAACTCCATCGCCAGCCTTAGCAGTGCAATGTTGTTCGTATTGAACATGGTGAAATTTTTGGGCACATAGATATCCTTCACGGGCACATTCACAGTCCGGCCACGATAAAACTTCAAGCGATTGGGTGTGCCCGCGACGACGAGCAACACGCGTGGCCGATGCTGGATCTTGCGACTGCTTTGGGCCCCCGGGTTAAAACGATGATCAGGTTCCCTTTTGGGCAAAGTAACAAGGGCAAATACCTACTCCATGGTGCAGTGTGCGGCAGTCATAATGAACGTGCGCGATAAAATGACGCCGCCGCAGTAGTGATTGTCGCCAAAGTACTTGCGCGGTGTGCGCGATCGCAGTGACACCACATACTTTGCCAATTCCAAGGTCTTTGTTGCCTGGAAGAACGGTGTCGATATCCGTTTGATCCGTCTGCGTGGAAGCTCGCTCAGCGGATTGTGAGCAGCATTGGAGGACGAGGTGAAGCAGATGAATGCAAGCAGCAGAAACAGCAACAGAAAGAGCATAAAACTGGATAGATTACGAATTTCCATTTACGAGTAAATGTGTGTTAGACACACGTACCTAATACCCCTTACATGATTTGACATGATAAACTTGTTGAGAATAACGGAGAATAGTGGAGATAAGCACATGTGGTGGGACGCAATTCTGTGGAGTTAACAGAGCAAGTAACAGGGAGAGAGAGTGACTAGCAGCAGCTTTCGATTTTAGCAAAGAGAGCAGACTACCAAGCTTCAATGCACAAGCTACGCACATATAAACAGTGCTATTATCTGTGATACATTAACCATTTAATCATTTATGTGTGTATGTACATAACTGTAAGGACTGGGCCAGCTAGCTCTTTGAAAGGAACAGCGGTGGACGACGGAGTAGAAAAACAACAACATCGTCAAAGCAGAACATTAACAGTGATTAACAGCAGTGAAGCAGTAAGAGCAACTGAGCAATAACAGCAGCGAAGAAGAAGAACAGTAAAGAGAATCGCAACAGCCACTCGTTATTTCATAAATCAGGACTTTAAATAATAAATTAACCATTGTTCTGGAGCACATTATTAACTCCCCGATTGCCACATTCATTTATTTTATACATGCAAATTTAAAACCAATTACAAACAATAGGAGTGCAAAATAATTACATGGACGATGGCTGCAATTGGTGGTTATAATGAAATTGATCCACTGCTTATTCTCATAGACATTCGTGTAGACGGAAGGCAGTTCCTTGTGGCCGCAGCCCAAGCGATAGCTGACAATGCCATAGACTGTGTCGTTGTCAATCAATGGACCACCCAGATCGCCGGCACAGGGGTTCATATCCAAGTGATCCATATTGCCGGCACACATCATCTCATCCGTGAAGACATTCAATATCAGTTCACAGGCCAAGTGGCTATAGAGCGTCACCTTAATCTGTGTGATGTCCGATGCCAAAGGTCCATTCTGTGCAAGAATCGGATTATGGATAGAATCTAAACAGTGCTGCGGATAATGCTCACGTGGTAGAGTCGACCCCAGCCAAGCACAATGTACTCGCTTCCCTTGATGGGCTCTGCTGTGGGCAACTTGATCACAGCCAAATATTTATTGTTCATGGGCAGTGGATATGTGAGCTTCAACAGAGCCAGATCGTTGGTATTGTAGATGGTAAAGTTCTCCGGAACAAAGATGGTCGTGACTGGAGCATGGACATTGCGATCCCTGAAAAACTTGAGCCTGTTGGGTGATCCAGCGACGACAAGCAAGTCCCTGCTCGACAGCAGAAGCCTGTGACTGCTGCTTGTTCAGGGTGAGAGAAGAGATCTTAGACATTTAGTTCGTGGTAAAGTGATACAGTGATACCCACTCTATGAGGCAGTGCGCACAGGTCATGGCAAATCTGTGTGATACAATGACCCCACCACAAAAGTGATTGTCCCCATAGTATTTGCGTGGCGTTCGCGTCCGTATGGAGACCACAAATCTGGCAAAGATGTTGGTCGTATTCTCAATCGTGGGATTCGATAGACGTCTGACCCGTTCACCCGTAATGCCTGCCTCGAAGGGAGGTAGAATCAGGCACAAAAGTAAAATAAAATCCGACAGATATCGTTTGTTCATGACAGGTTTTTTACAGTGTATTCAAAAGATTGCTTTGTTGTCTACACCAGCAGGCCACTGACTGAGAACTGTGGCAAGTGATCGACTCGCTTGCGGAACTCGGGCACCTCGCAGGCATAGGAATAGCCCGCCAAGATGTCAGTCTTCTTCCAGCTGATCCAGTTGATCTTGTCACTGACATCCTCGCACAACACATAGTCGCGCTTGATCTCCTCCAGACTCAAATGGGGATTGTTGACGCCGACCAAGACAATGCCCCTCCTGGTGGATGGCTCAATGACCACGCGGAAGTAGATCTTGGGCACAGGGATCAGGCCGTTGCCATTGTTATCATGGGCCAAGTACAGTCCAGTCTGCCTGCCATCCTTGTTGGGCAGCGTGGTGACACCCCAGACACCGGTGTAGCACTCGACATGCTTCTTCTCCTTGGACACCCAGGCGCGGACTCCGTCCTCCACGCGAGCCCAGTTGCCGGCATTGAAGGTCTGCCACTGGGGAGCGGCATTGATGAACAGGAACGTGGCACGCTGCTCGGGGGCATACACGAAGTCAGCCTTGGCACCCATATGACCGCGGGCCAGGAACACATTCTTGGCCGAATCAAAGTAGCGGTTCGAATCCATGCCCAACTCCTTGTCGATGGTTTCCTTTTGCGTCACCTGAGTGTAGAGCTTGTCCACATTCTTGCCGGCAAAGAAGCCGCCAGCGCCGAAGGTGATGCGATCCACGCCAGTGGCATAGTAGTTATTTCCAGGCTCCAGTGTGTGGTAGACATAGCGGGTCACCTCCTCGTCCTCGTTGAAGCACACCTCGTACTGTTTGGCGAAACGGCCACCGTCCAGTTCGAAGCCGACGCGGATGAGGGTGGTGCCGCCGTTGCAGCTGGCACCAGACTTCTTGCCTACAAAGGCTGGCCACGAGGTGCACTTGAAGGCGGAGACATCGTGATCCTTGTCGCCGATCCTAAAGGTGGTGCCCTCCACGCACTTGGCCGTCACCGATCTGCCGGACAGGGGAGAGGCCAGGCTGCTGGTGCAGTGGAACTCGATGGTCTTGTCCTTCTCCACATCGACAAAGCCGGTGTCAGAGTAGCCAAAGAAATCAGAGGTGCCGGGCTTAATCAACAGCGGCTGGGGATTCTTCAGCTCAGAGCCACGTATCTTGATGGAACAGCCAGCTAAAGGGGGGGGTTTAAACGAGGTAATGCTGCTGCCCAATTATAATTATAATTTGTGTTTTGGTCTTACCGGCTCTACCCTCAATCTGGTCGTTAAGGGGCACGGGCATGGGCAATTCCCATGACAAATCCTGCTCCTGCTGGAGGATTCTCGCTTGGCCACAGGCCAAGATCACAGCACTTAAGGCAATCAACGCTAGTCCCTTCATGTTTCACTACTAACTGGACCTGTGGCAGTCCCCACGCGCTTTTAAAACCCCCATCGACTTGGGCATGATGCCTGATTAGATTCCCCTATGATTGCGGTCATGTTTCTGCTGCTGGTACTCCTATCTTCGGCGTGCATGTGTCTGTGGCTGCGCTACCCTTAAGTAGCAATCTTGCGATTCCATTGATTACTTCACGTGTTTCGCGTGCCCTAAACGAGTTTTGGGTGCGAGTACTCGTACTTGTTCCTCCCGGCATTATCATTTAATTAGTTTTGGCCAAATCAGAAAACTTAACAATGATTAGACAGCGACCATTGAGTGGGGCTAGGAAATTAAATGCTGCGTACGTCACGTGCCCCTCACGTTTCCCTTTCACTCTCTCTATCTGTAAATCTTCCTTTTCTTTTTGCACAAATATCAATGATTTTTATTCTTTCACATTTATTGGTTAGTTGTTGTGTGTGTGTGTGTGTGTTTTTGGCGCAACTGTACTTAAGCTTACTTATTGTATGTACAACGGCTACAGATATGATTATTGTTTGTCGAGTTTTTCGAGTTCTTTTTGGGTGTCTCTACGCTCGTATGTACATAAATATTCTTAAACATTTTTAAACGTTTATTGGCCAACTTTAATTGGAAGTTTATCAGATATTTATTGATTTAGGATTTATTATTGTTTAGCAGTTACTTTAATTTGTTTGCTGGAATTGTTTTATAATACTTTTAAAGCTGAGGAATATTTGTACAAAATATATTTATGGTAGGATCGGGGTAGGCAAATCTCATTTATTGGGAACTCATCTACGCAATTAAATTGGTTTCCGATCTCTACTATTTGGCTTCTTTAATATTTTGTTATTATTTACATCGATTCTAAATGTTTGCTGGCTTTTTCCATTTTGTATTTTTATAAGCTCTCTTCTTGGGGTAAGCTTAGATCTTGAGCAGGGGAAGTGTTTCATGTTTGTGATTAAAGTTAAAACACAGAGAAACAGCAAGATAAGATTACACAGAACGGATAAGTGCTACTTCCTTTAATGTTTATATACATTTAAAGCTATCAACAATACCTTGCTCAGAGAATACAGATTCCATGTGGTAATGCCCTTTACTTGGAAGCTCTTCAAACTCATCTCTCTTCTGATCTAGAGGAATATCGCCAACTGGGCATAGATCTCCACTGCCACTAGGAGACCCATTATGGTCAGATTCACAGCGCAGTAGACGCGTCGCAGTGAACGTCGGCGCTGACGCTGACCACCACATTTACCAGAGCGGCGGGCGCCCTGCGTCCACTCACATTCCAAATGCTCGCGCGAGTCAGGATCGCCGTCGTCGTCGTCGTCGTCGTCGTCGCTCCCGCTGCCGCCGCTGCTGCTGGGTTCGGGTTCGGAATCACTGCTGAGGCTATTCCGGCGCCCATCGGCTGCAGTTCCAGTTCTTGGTCCGTGTTCGTGTCCGTTTTCGCTTGGCGGCTGCCAATGTCAAACCGACGCCAGCGACGAGCTGCTGTCATAGGCCACGAGCAGAGAGTCGTTCTCATCGCTGCCGCTGCCCGCACTCCGCTCCGACTCGTTGATGACCTCCAGCTGCGTTTGCGGACGGGCGATTTTGTACTTGTTGTGCCGCTTGTTGATCAGCACGCTGCGTATGTTGTTGTTGGTGCGCCGACCACTGCCCCCGCCGCTGCGCTGACCCTTGACCTTGACCACAGCCGTACGTGGCCGTGAACGGGGTCGAGAACGCGAATGCGTCTTCCTTGGGGCACCCAGCATGCTGCAGTCTGCTGCAGCATCATCCTGTGGCTCCAGCTCCAACTGCTGCTGCTGCTCCTCATCCTCGTAGTAGTCATAGTAGTCGTCGTAGTCATAGCCCACATCATCCTCCGTCTCCATGCCATTGCCATAGGCAGCCTCATCGTCATCATCATCGTCGTCGTCGTCATCGTAGTCAAAGTCAAAGTCAAAGATGGCGCAGCATCCGCCGTCGCTGGCCTCCACGCTGTGGCGCCGCTTTAAGTGGCGTTTTCGGTGATGGGACTTGCCGCTGTGTGTACTTACGCTCTTGTACATGGGCGCAAATATGGCGGTCTTGGCCTGTGGTAATACGGGTAATACAAATATTAAATGGGTGATAAAGCATAAGGAGTATCAATATGAGAAGGTGTTTCCAGTTGCACAGGGCAGAAGCTGTAACAGAGCGTAACAGTGCTGTTAACCGTACTTACAGCGCACTGTTAACGCTCACTGTTACTCTCTCTGAGAGGGATAGACACATAGAGAGCGGTCTCGAGCGGACCTTGGACCCTTGCTTGTAAGCTAGCACCTTTTTACGCTTTACCCACCAACCACCGAAGAGAGCAGCCGTGAAAAAATACAGTGGAAGCCTTATAACGAGTGCTCTGTGTGTTTATCGCTGGCTTACATCTACAATACCCCGTAATAAATGATACTCCACTGGTTTACAGCTCCCCAATGCACTGTGGTCATATATCCATTAACTTATGATGGATTGACTTACCTCCGGTCCTCGCCAGGTAATTCCAGAGCGCACCAAATTATAGAAACGGAGTACACCCCACATGGCCAGCACCTGGTTGGATGGCAATGGAGAAGAGGCGTAGAGAGAGGGAGAACAAGAGCGTAAATTCCCATTAGTTCAAAGTCCATGATATAGATAAACAGATAAATAAACAGTCAGCACTCATACACACACACGCACAGAAAAGCAAACATATATTTTTATAGAGCACAAGGGACCTAATGGCTTGGGCTTGTACTCGTAATTCAATTATTTATTACATTTATTGATCAAGCCGCGGACAAGGCTAATTAGCCTCGAATTTCAGCCCATTCCATTTGAGTGATTTCTCACTTTCCGTGAGAAGTTTTCATTCAAACTTACTTTCCTTTCCTTTCATTTTATTTCATCACATTTTTCGTAATATCACATTTATTTTTAATATGAAAATCGTATTGTATTCTGAGTATTTTCACGATGGATGCCATATATGATGTCTTTTGGGATCAACTGCAGCTGACTAGCTTCATGGAATCGATGCCTTATCTGGGGATAGAAGGCACCGTCGAAGCTTTATGGAACGGTGATATTCGATTTTTTCCCCTATATTACTGGATAATACTGGTCTTCAGCATATATGGAATGGTATGCCAAGGATCACAAGATGAAATTTGTTTGGGTTTAATCAAAGAAACGCCTTTTGTTCTCCTGTAGATTCAAAGTTTTCTACAGTTGTATCAACATGTGTCTATTCAAAATGGGAAAACGGATATGTACTCGTATTTGCAAGGCTGTTCCTTCCTGAGTTGCCAAGTGCTTAAAGTATTGGCCTGTAGCCATATGTTTATAGTGGCCAAATCCTGGATTCTCTTGGTCAGCGCTGTACTGATGGTAAGTCCAGTCGAATTGCGTACTCCTTATTAGCATTTTAAGTTGCAATTTCCAAGGTATCACCTGCTAAAATGTATGTCTGGCTGTTTATACATGGCCTGTTATTAATTGTGCAACATCTGGCCATTGCAGTCCAGAATATCCGTATGGGTCATATGTGGTTTTGGCCAAAGTCTGCCAGAACTGTCATTAGTTTGCTGTTTAATTTGGTAAAACTTGGAATTGTATATCAGACCATGTGTGCCTTCGATGTGGCGCTCATAGAGGAGAGGCCTGAGGAGTTGAGGCTGTTGTCGAAAATATTAAAGGCTCTTTAAATTAAAATTAACACGAATTGGGTTTGCTCTGCCATACACATTCACGCACACGAAATCTTTATTTCTACGCAACTTACATTGATCAGAGCTCGTGCTATAAAGAAGGCCACCTCCGCCTTGCACATGGCATCAAATTGCTGTAAGTGAAAGAATAATTTGTTACAATATTATGTTATGAATTATACACACATAATTTAGTTTCCGAGAGCACAAGTTGAAAGCAAAAATTAAACATAACTTATGTTTGCGAAAGCAATTAGGACCGGGAGGAACTTTTCTTTGACCATGCAAATGAAAAGTTTTTCTCAGAACAGGAGCGGATTGGATTAATTGAATGGTTTGTAATTAAATCTAGACATTTGGTACGCCATAATTAGTGGAACGGAAGCTGTATACTCGCTGCTGTTTGCTTTCAAATTATTTAGAAAATATTTTTCGAAAAAATTGCAAACAACAAATTAGCAAGTCCAACGCTGCTCGCTCTGCCACAACTTTTTTTGTTTTTGAGTGAAAAGTGAATTTTTACCTTCTGAATTGCAATAAATTATGCATGAGGCGACAATTTTCCAACAACTTTTCGCAGCCGTCCCGTGGCGTTTGATGGCTGGGAGGGTTGGGAGTTAGGTGCAAAACAAAACAAATAGAATCCAAAAAGCAGGACACGTTCGTAATAGAAAGAGCCACACACCCGCAACGAAGCAAAGAAAAAACAAATGCCGGCCGGGCGACATGGACAAATGTAAAAATACTAAAGGAAAATGGTGCAGAAAAATGCCCAACTCATTGCATATGTGTCGACCGGACTAGGACTAGATCCACATAGATGTGTAGATACGTTTGGTTGAGTTGAGTTTTTTTTTGGTTTGTTTTTCGCTGGGTGCACCAAGAGGGGCTGGCTGTGGCAGGTCCTTTAACCATTCATCCATCCTTCTATCCTTCCATACATAACACCCAAGTCCCACACAGCTTTGTGCCGCTTTGACTTTGTCGCTTCTTTAGAGTGGGTAAGTGTGTGTGTGTGTGTGCAGTAGTAGAAGGGGAGACGACACACTCTTGAGTGTGCGTCTGTTTTTCCTCGCTTTTTGCTCTACTATTTTTTTCCTGTACGCTTCATTTGTTAGCAGCAGCAGGCACTTTGCTTGTGGCAGAATTGCTTGAGTAAGGAGTCGGCGAGTCAAGAGGAACAAACTACCAAGGCGAGTGTGTGCCCGAGGCTTGAAAAAGCGAGACGAATGAGGAGCTAACTTGCCGGCTAACTTGCCGGAGCTATTGAATGGAGTGGAGGACTCCC